CTGCTATGGTTCACCCCAGGATACATAGGCTTTAAAGTTATGGCTTCCTTTGTCTTGTTTATTGTAGTGAGATTATGGAGAGAAATTTTCAAAAGGACACAACTGAATCGGAACAGTATGCGGGCGGGTAAGAGGGGGAAGCCGGCCACATAAATGACAGCGACAGGCACGAAAAGATTCAATGTCCAAAACATTAATTCCCGCTAGCCGATTTGAACGACTGACCTCGTCATTACTAGTGACGCGCTCTACCAACTGAGCTAAGAGGGATGCTGGCGATTAACAGGTAGTTTTCATCATCACCATCTTACCAAGCCCATCTGACGACTGCAGCACCACCTTGTCCTGTAGATGAAGAAACGTCCGTCTCGGCCATCTTTCCGAAGATATGTGACATGATCCACGCGAGTCAGGTTACAACTTGTTCCATTCCCGCATCGTAGCACGGGTTTCTGCTAGTTCTTCTTACTGTATCCTACAGCCCATGGCCTCAATACCAGGGTTTGCCGAGCATATTCTGCCCTGAACGTTGTTCTTCTCCCTCTGCAGGCCAAAGCCCGGTCGTGGGGCGCTGACCTTCGGGGTAGGCCAGATGTCCGCACCCGGGAACATGCGTATACAGGTCATCGTCGTCGGCGCCATCCTCAGGCTTCTCCTCCGCCCTCTTTTCCTGCAGCGCGTACTCCACCGGCCAAGCCGTGCAGATCCGGATCCCAGCATCGTCCTGCAGCCCAAGCAGACGACGCAGCCCATCGGCTCTGAGCCGGGCCGCACCTCCATAGCTGAACCGCGTGTCCAGCAACGCCCCGCAGACCGACTCCAGCCGGCCCCTGCCCTCTCCCGCGAGGTGCGCAGCAAGTCCCGCCCACGAGTACACCTCGGGTGTCGGCGCGTCGGGGTCGTAGTCGTCGTCGACCTCCTCGTCCGGGTCGTAGTCCGTCGCAGGCCACTCCGCGCCGTGGTCGAGGATGAGGTGCCTGAGGCGCGGCAGGCGCGCGGGCGTGAGGAGCGCGGTGAGCGCCGGGACGGACGGGGACCAGTGCGTGAGGTCGAGCAGCGCGAGGTGCGGGAGCGCGGGGAAGCGCGCGGGGTCGAGCGAGGTAAGCGCGAAGGGCATGCGCGTGGTCGACTGCGGGAGGGAGATGCGCAGCCGCGCGAGCGTGGCGGCGTGCGATTCGAGCAGGCTAATCAGGTCGTCTGTGAAGTGCGCGTACGCGGACAGGAACGAGGTGTTCTCGAGGACGTGGGCGAATTGCGGGATGAGGAGCAGATGAAGTGGGCTGTAGCCTCGCATGGGCTGGAAGTAGATAGCGTTGAATGAGTGCCAACAGCCACTGCGCGGATGATTTACGCACCCATTGGACCGAGAGCGATTCGAGTTCGGTCACGTACTTGAGAGGTGCGAACAGATTCAGCGGCTCCGCCATCCCCCCCGTCGGTAACACGACCTCGACATGCCGCAGCGTATCTTTGTTGCCTTCCACCACCGCATGGAACAGTGATATCGCCCGAACAGCCCACTCCTCTCGCTCCGTCCTGAGCGCCTCCTCCTGATACGCCTCCAGCACGAGCTTCACCGACTCGGCCTCGTAGTGGCTCTCCTCCTCCATCTCGCGCTCCGCGCGCAGATCCCGGTAGCGCTGTAGCAGGCGCGCCGGGGCGTCGTCGATGAAGGGGACGTGGAAGACCAGAGACTCGAGCCCCGTCGGCGTGGGCTCGGGTGCATCGAGTGAGCGTATGGTGTACGTCGTCGAAGCCATCGTGGATGACAGCACGGGTGGGAAGAAAGCGTGATGAGAACGGTAATCATCCGTCCGAGTTCCCTTATAGTGCGCGCGCGCTTGCTCGGGGCTGGGCTGTGCGCCGCAAGCTGAAACGTGTGCGATCGGCAATGATGGTCGTGGTCATCAAGCAACCGCTCCTTGGTCTACTGGAGGCCCCTTGAACCCAAACCTCTGCTGTGATCTAACGCAATGCTGCTTATCACCACTCACTGGCCCACTGTCATGGGGTCAAGCCCTCCTCATGACCAAGGCCCCGCTTTTGGCAACCGGCGTTTTCGCTGTGCAATCAGTCCGCTCAAAGGCCAATCTCGACAAGTCGTATGGTTGCGATGACGTGATGCTCGCAGAAACCCACATACAACGATGACTGGTAGCATGTTCCTCGGGCGGCCGGACGGCGGTATAAGAGACACCTGCAGTCTTGGGCGATGGATTGTGTTCAAGAGGCCAGCGAATCCGACGCTATTCCACCATGAGCGACAAATTTTCCGAACTCAGATCCCACTACAAGCACGCGGTGCAAGCTGAGGCACTGCTCTTCAACAACGGACGCCGTGCCCTTCGACTCGAGGTGCCCGATATCGGCAAGGAGTTTACGGATGGACTATACATCGGGAAAGGTCGGCAGCGAGATGCATTATTCGTGATTATACGTCTCACAAACCAATAGATCCTGAGGGTACCTTCTATTACAATTATGCGGACAACTTCGACCGCACGGGAATCAAATACAAGACATACCGCTATGTGAACAAGATCGACAACAAGACCTGCGCATGGATCAAGTTCTACACCGAGTCGGAGAATCAGTGCTTTGCTGAGGTTCGTCGGTTCCTGCTGGACTTCATGCTTTTCGGACTGAATTCCACTCCCAGTTTTTGGGAGTCGATGCGGTATTTGCTCTAGTCAAAGATCCACTATACACATTTCTCATCGTTTTCTGCCACAGGACGAGAGCGTGCGCGGATGCAACATGGATGCCTACGAGGGCACCGGCTCGTGGAAAGACATGAACCTCGGCGCAGTCACCTGCTTCATCCGCAAGTACGACGACCAGAGCAGGATCACGATCAGCTGTCCCGCCATCAAGGCCACCGCGACAATTACCGACACGAACAACGTCCTGCGGGGCAAATCAGTCAGTGCGTGCTTCCTCCCGCAGCTCGTTTTTTTTTGGCTGTACTAAGATCGGGACCTATCAGAGGTGGGAGGTAACCTGCATTTCAAGGACATCGACACGGTCAAACGCGGGAGATACGCCAGCTACAACAACGATCGGATTGTGTTCTACGAGAGCACTGCAGTCAGCACGGATTTCACCGCGTTCGTGAGTGTCTGCTGTTCTCGAATTGCTGTGACATAATCTGAACCGACCCTTTCTTCCCCAGTTCGTCCGTGAGTATATTTTGAGGTGGCAGCGTAAGGATTTTGCTGACAGTCCCCGACTCGCAGCGTACGAATCCGCACAGAGTACGCTGGAGGTCAGTTCGGCGAGCACTGCCGAGTTTTCCAGCATCAGTTGGTCGTGATCAGCATAAGAATCGTAACCGTATAATATACTTCTGATCCACGCTAGTCGGCTGGGAGAACCCAGTTTAAGACCGATCAGAAGCCGGCGAGAGGTCTTCAATGTCAGTCTGCCGGGTTTCATGCGGGCAGATGAAAACAATCGAGAGACAGTTAATCTCATGTATTAGAAGAGAAAGATGATCGTGCTGCAACTGGAATTGCTCGGGATGTGTTCAATCAGAGCCATCTCGTTTCAACGTTCCAGGCTCTACCGAGTGAATTACCGTTTATCTCTATGACAACCAAGGACATTTGCAGGTATGACTAGACTCAGTCTTTGTAGTATGTAATTGTGCAGCTATGGCTTGCCAAGTTGCGCCCAGGTTCACATCTTCCCGACTCATCCAGCTGACCGATTCCCCCCCCCCCAAGTCTTTTCAAACACTTGCCAAGTCTGAACAAGTGTGAACTATGCCTGTTCGGGTGATAATCAGTTGATGGACACACTGCCTCGCCACAGCCTGATCCCGCAAGCGTCCCGCGTTTCGCGACTGCGCCTGCATATAAAGTCTGGAAGGGGCATGCACAATCCTCATTCCATCAAATCTCATTCATTCATTCGCCCAAAATGAAATTCGCCGAATTCCTCTCCGACTGCTGCTCCGTGTGCTTAAGTTGTATACCCTGCTGCAGTGAGTCCACCCTGCTGATCCGGTCCGGCCGATCGCCATCTGATCTCGGCGTGCAGCGGTGTGCGGACACTCGGCCGCGGGCCGGATATGCTGTGAGTCACGACGTCCACGTTAGCGGGGCCAGTCCCGACGGAGACGTTCCAGGCCCGTGCATCCAGCGTAAGGACGAGGATGATGACGATAGCGACGACGACGAGGACGCGAGCGGGGGTCGGAATCCCAGCCAGATACGCATGGATCCAGTGCGTCCGGGTCAGCCCGCGCCGTTGCAGCCGATGCACGTCGACGGACAGCGAAGATGACGACGACGACGCCACCGCGTGTTTGTCCAGATAGGCTTTCCATCGGCGCGGCGTTCTCGGGGAAGGCCTGGGGGAGGGGACGGAAGAGCGGGCGGGTGATGCCCGTCGGCAGCAATGTTCACGCGGGTGACGACGGGCCAACGGAAAAGCCTTCTTCGAAGGGCGGCCACGTGGCTGCCACGCGATGCCACGCGAGCGGATCTGGGCTGGAGTTGGGGGTGCATGTATGCGCGAAGCCTGCCCCATGCATCCGCGCGGAATAAAGCGGCCGAGGGTGTTCGCGCGTCCCAACCCATCAGACCCATCAGTATCTCATCGATAAAGGGTAGCAGCCTCTACAAGGAGCCAATAAATATTATAAATACCCCACAATTCTTCGGCAGTGGGCATGCATGCTGCAGCGCAGGGTCGCATACAAATTGATTTAATTTCGAACGCAAGAGACGACATCGGATGCGACAGCGGGTGTATACTAATACATGAGCGAAAACAGAACGAAAACAAAAAGAGTAAAACACGGATGATTCATAGCAACTCCCGAGGTCAAGGGACAAGTGCATGGCTTGATGAGGCGAGATGCTGATGCTGATGCTGATATGATATGATACACTGCAGATACTTCCCAACGAGAGCGCCATTCCAATTGAATCCGGACCGGTGTCCTTGCCCGATCCACATGTGCCTGGGCCAACATGCGTGAGTGAGACCAGGGCTCACCAGCCCAGGGCCCCGCTCATGCGGTTTATGGTGAGCGTGGCCATGATTTCCGTGACGAACGCCAACCCGGCGTGCTTCAGGGTCAGCCGGCCGTCAAAGTCGTCTGTGGCTGCAGCCGTCTCCCAGACCGCAAAGACCGTGCGGCCGTCTGTCAGCTGTGTGTGCGTAGTCAGCGGCTTCCATGCGACCGGTGGTGCGAGAACGAAAGAAAGAAAGCAAGGATGCAATAGAAGCCCCGGCCAACGCGATGGCCCGACGGATTTGTCACTGGGCAGCCGGACGTACGTCAGGGCGTCAGCGGACGCAGATAGTGAGGGCATGGGTGTGGAGCGCGGGGAAAAAGAGCTCGTCCGGAGACAACACGCACCTCCATCCTCGTCTGGGACACCCTCCACTTGTATTCCTTTCCGCTCTGCGAAATAAAATATCGTGATCTGGAGGTAATCAGCCCCGGGCCGCGTCCGTGATGCGCCGCGGGAGGCGGGAGAAGCGGCGATGCTTACGGGCTTCCTTCGGTCTTCTGCCTCCTCAGATAGGTCATGGGTATCGAGTTCCGGTTGTTGCCGTAGACAAAGGTATCCGGTTGAAGGAGTCGGTGTCCCTGCACCGTAGACTGAGCTCTGCACTGCGACATAGGGCCCAAAGTAGAAGTAGCGCGTCGGGCCCATCGTCCCGGGGTGGTGCTGTGTCCATTCTGCCTCCCGACCGAGTTTAACGACGAGATTCGGGCTGTGGGGGACCTGCGCAGATGCGACATCAGTCTGAATCCACGTTCAGCGCTGAACAGCACGCACCGGGCCACTGAGCGCAGGTAGAAGGGAAGAACGAGGGACCGATCAGCTCAAAGTGGGGCGTGACTCGATGCGGAAGTCGACTGACACACTGAACGCAGGCCGTCCTTCGAGATCGACAAACCGCGCGTTGAAAGCATCGGTGCCATACTGCAGCAGGACATAGGTCGATGACATTCAAAGGAGCGGGAGGAAGGGAAGGAGAAGAAGAAGAGTGAGCTGGCGGCACGGTATCAGTCGCACAATCGGCAAGGGGGGTATCCGATCGCCGATCGCGAAAGCACAAAAAGGGCCGACACGTGGCAAATGTCATCCGTGGACGCCGTGGGCTGTGCCGCCGTGGCGCGGCCCGTGCCGCCGCCCGATGGAGGCGAGTTGCCGATTTGGCGTCATATGTCGTGACTTGATCAATGTTATCGGGAGGATCTGGTGTGAAGATCGACGCGGTCCACGAGCGCCTGGATGTTCGCTATCACGCTCGTATGGAGGAGCACGAGCGTCCACAACAAAAACACAAAAGTAATAAAGCGTGTGGACACACCACAACTCTTGACAAGACAGCTCTTGATCCTGTCATGCACCTATTCGATGCAGTCACCCATCAAAAATGCTTTCAGCGTATACTATCTTTAACTCCGTTAGCCCTCATCCTGCGCCCGACATGTTTTCACGCGCCCCCCCGCGCGTGATTGTCCTGCACTCGCCCGGGTGCAATCACAGATCGTGCCACCGTCGGGAAGATGGCGGAGTACATGCGGAAAAGACATGTGGGTATCGAGCTATCTGATCCGCTGATTCTGCCCGCCGCACTCGCCCACACTGAGAACCTCTTCGGCGGCTCCTACGTCCGCGTGCAGTCTCGGAAGAAAGAGAGTGGGAAGCATGCCGCGACGCCCTTCCCGCATCCGACACAAACCCTGTGCTCCGATCCGCCGAATGACCTCAGCGGGACCCACACCATCGCCGCCTCGCAACACCGAGACTGTGACTGGGACATATTCATAATTAACGGTCACCCCCCAAAAA